ATCCTTAGAATCAGAGACAGCTGAAATTTCTACGACACATAATGAATAAAGAGAAACCTGAAGAATCTGACACAAACACACAGGACATATTGAAGGTAAGCGGAAGAGGGGGGGGGAAAGAAGCGAGTAACCTAACAATGTTCTATAAAATGTATATGGCAGAAAACTTGGGAGTTATAAAGAAAAGAGTTTTATAGGCTAGGATGTAGTGGAGAGCCATGAATGCCCACGTCCTGAAAGAACAAAGGCTCATAGAAGAAAAAGATAATGAATAATTAATTTCTAAATTAATGAATAATCGTCTATATTTCTGAGATGAGGTATTATGTACACTATTTACATTATTCGGACTATTGTCCTCATCTTTGCTGCCATATTTATTACAACGTTTCGGTCGTTGTACGCTCTGGCCTTCTTCAGGTGGTTGGAATGTCGAACTGAACCCAACCATCTGATGAATACCGGAGCGTACAACGGCCGAAACGGTGTAATAAATATGGCGACAAAGATGAGGACAATAGTCCGAATAATTTACATAGTGTAATGAATAATTATTTAAACAGACTAATTTTTTGCAGTTACCATTAAAACATTTCGACCGTTGTAAGTCGTTCGTGTAATCTTCATAGAATTTTGAACTGAACCCTTACTTAATTTCCGGGGTGAGACTGATCCTGCTTATGGATATATATATATATATATATATATATATATATATATATATATATATATATATATATATATATGTAAAAAAGTGTATATAAATATAATATATATATGTATAATTATTTATATATTATATGCGCGGTACTTATTAGAAAGCGCTCAATATCAGAGATAGAGCTAACATATTTGGTTGGATAGATGTGAGTTCGTGACCCTGGGTTTCACGCTTTTGCGATCGTCAGACAAACTGATTAATTTTTTAAAAAAATTGGGGTTTATGTAGATTGCGTGTATTGGTGTTATTGTGGAAGTGGTGGGGGAAATTTCGTCGCTTATGTCATCGTACTAACGCAAACATCGATGTATGCAGACACATATACATACTTGGCCGTCCGTCGGGACTCATACATATATAAACATATGTAGGCAGTTTCGGATATGACATATGTATGTATATCCGCCAAGAAATTAGGAGTAAACTAGTGGAAAAATACGAAAACATCTATTGACTGGTTCCACAACATAAATAACAAACAAAATTGCCAATTCCTACAATTAGACATAAAAGAATTTTACCCATCCATAACAGAACGTATGCTAGATAAGGCCATCAACTTAGCTCAGGAACAAATAATAATAAAACCAAGCGAAATCAACATCATTAAGCACTCCCGTAAATCATTATTATTCCTCAATGAAGAAGCATGGATAAAGAAAGATGGGATATTTGACACTACAATGGGAAGCTTTGACGGTGCAGAGGTATGCGAAATCATAGGCATTTACTTACTACACGAACTGAGCAAAATAATAGACAAAAATGACACAGGACTCTACAGGGACGACGGTCTCATAATCTTAAGAAACTGTAACAAACAAAACACAGACAAAACTAGAAAAGCAATAATAAAGATTTTATAGATATAAAAACTAACCTAAACGAAGTAGATTTCCTAGATGTTACCTTCAACCTAAGAGAAGGCACATATAAACCATACAAAAAACCTAATGATAAACCACTCTACATACACACATCTTCCAACCATCCGCCTTCTATAATCAAACAAATACCAAAATCGATTAACCGCAGGCTCTCCGACAATTCCTCCAATGAATCCCTATTTAACAAAGCTTAGAAAGACTATGAAACGGCCTAAAAGATAGCGGATTCCCAGCAATACTCACATACTCACCACAGAATACAAAAAAGGCCAACAGGAGAAGAAATATCATATGGTTCAACCCACCGTACAGCAAGAACGTAAAACAAACGTAGGAAAAATATTCTTCAAACTCTTACACAAACACTTCCCAGAATCAAGCACCTTACACAAGATATTCAACAAAAACACAGTAAAATCAGCTACAGCTGCACCGAGAGCATGGCACAAATAATAAAAAAGCACAATAGGAAAATTATCAACAAACCACACGAACAAATTAAACACACGTGCAACTGCAGAATAAAGAACGAATGTCCCTTAAACGGAAATTGTTTACAAAACAACGTAATATACCAAGCCACGATAAAATCACCAGATAATGAAGAAAAGTATACATAGCAGTAACTGAAGGACCCTGGAAGCAAAAGAAATTATACACACAAAACATCTTTCACAAATAGTAAATATACGAACAGTACAATGCTTTCTAAGTATATCTGGGAAATTAAAACAAAACGCACATCACACCAAAAATATCCTGGAAGATAAGGAAAAAGTCATTAGCCTACAACAACCAATCAAAAATTTGCAAACTTTGCTTGAGGAAAAAATAGCTATCATTACTTTCCCCCGACCAAAATAAATTATTAAATAAAAGATCCGAGCTCATCTCAAAAATGCAGGCATGAAAATAAATTTTTTACTACGTAACCTAAAAAATTAAAACGGAAAAAAAAAAATAAAAACAAATAAATACACTAATAAATAATAGAAATAAAAAATAAATAAATACTATGTTGCTTAAAACCGAAAAGAGAAAATATACAAGTAAAATAAATTGACCTAAATTCATCCAAGTAAATAAATAGACAAACCAATCCCAAATTAAAAACTCTTCCCGCCAAAATAATAGTTAGAATGAACTACAACAACCAACCCAAAAATTGAACAAATATCTTTAATTACATTCTCAAACCAAATCAAAACTGTTAAATAAGTGAAATAAACAAATTTTTACTACGTTAATAAATAAATAAATAAATAAATAAGTAAAATAAGAAACAAAAATAAAAACGAGCAATATAATTTGACCCAAATAAACAAACGACTTCCGGTAAAATAACCGCCATAATAGAATACCCACAATGCACCACTAACCCGTATACATAGAAATAGCCGAGAAAAATAACAGCATATGTGGCCTGACGATTGCATATAGCATGAAACAGAGTGTCGCCTCTAAGTGTTGACTTCTATGTTCACTTTTATATTTACACACGCTCTATCTCTGATATTGAGCACATATATGTATGTATGTATTCTTCAGTTATTGATCGCTACGATTCTGCGGCTGTATTACTCGGAAGATAACGATTGACATTGCATTTAAATGAATGAAGGCCAAAGTTGATAGGAAAGTAAGAGGCCGGAAGAGAGTTCCACAAGCAAGAATTCCGAAAGAAGAAACTATCAACATAGAACTAACGGTTACATCTAGCAATATCAACTGTAAAATGATGAGACCTACCTGTTAATCTAGTACAGCGCTTAAATTCGTAAAGTCGAGCAACCAAAGAGGCAAGCGAATAAGAACAATTACCGTGAAACTATTTGTAGTATTTATAGAAGTCGAAATGTCAGGTCAGGACCGATAACATTGCAGATTTTTCTTTGGATTTTATCAAGAATTTCTAGGTGTATAACTTAATAGGAGTAGATCGGTTCGCCTATCGAGCGGTTCACAATGCCCTCCAGTCTTTTTGAACAGGAATAGAGGTTTATCTATTGTTCCCTCTTTAGGATTAGGTTTCCAGTTCCTTCTAAAGTCTTTTCGTCCTTTTTCCCTCCAAGTAGCCCCATGCTTCTTAGCGGCATTATCACTTTGCTTGGGACGAATTGATTAATAAAATAAAGACAGCTTTTAACCCTGAACCTAATTCTTGCTTTGATTTTATGTGTTTGAGGAGACAACATATCCACAAGGACCTTCGTGGATCAACATGAGAGAAGGAATTAATTGAACGAACTTTTTCGAAGATGCCATAGCTAGTATAAAAGGGTATAAAAGGTCTATGTCAGGACTGTCCAAAGTCCGGCTCAGGGACTAATTACGGCCCACGGTCAAATTTCATATGGCCCCCTTCCCCTCATAGAATGTATTACACGACTCACCAATACTGTCAATCAGAGTATTTAAAGTAAACATATAAGAAATGCAATTTCATGTTTTACGAAAAGATAGCAGCAACACGGTGTGACCACCCACTGGCGGTGTCATCCTGACCTTGGCCATTTCCAGCCAATTTCTAAAATTACTAACTTTGAACCATACCTAGCCTACACACTGCAGTTTAGATCTCAGTATCACCCTTCACATTAGTGCAGGCAAGTTATTTGTTTTGGTCATCTGAGATGAATAAATTTTAAAATCTTAGTGAATTAAATTTGTTTTGTGTTGGTCAAAATCAGTTATAAATCTATTTGAACACTTGGACTTGTGTCACTTTTTTTTCTACTTAATGAGATGAATGTTAGTGTTATGTTTCTATTCATATGTTTTTAACTTAAACGTTGACAGACAACATTAATTACCAATATGTATTGTATAAGATTAATCCAAGATATTATAACTTCTTGGAAGTTTTATTTTCTCAGACATATTCTACTTCATCTTATACGACCTTCAGATATGCAAAGCTGAGTGATTTTGGTAAAATCTCTTTAAATTTATTTGTCATCCATGCGAAGAAATGAAAATATGACATTTACAATAAAACTTTGATAAGATAGTTCATTTGAATTTAATTTGAAATGGTTCAAGAAATGCTAAGCAGAATGGTTGGCCCTCGCATATATTCACCTCATCAAATCTAGCCGTCTTTGAAAAAAGTTTGGACAATCCCTGTTCTATGCGAAACGTTGTGAAAAAAAACTTTGAGTTATCTAAAGTTGTCACCTATCATTAATTCTGTGGGTCATGACACTTAAAACTTCTGCTGTGGGCCTGGATGAGCAAAATACGCACTGTTTGTTGCAGATGGGGGTGTTTTTGGTAAGGTTATCTGCTAATCAAAGAATTAATGGTGCTGTTCTGTGTTAATGGCTGTTTGAACGACATTGGGACAGAGATGAACCTTCTTCCATTATATTCAAAGACCAAGAGCTAAAGGTACGGCCACATCTCGTTGAAATATTGGTTCCCGTACGATCCCCGAAGATAAGCAACGACGAGCCTAGTGAGTACCTCGATGGGTAACCGTTTACGAATAGCAGATACTGTAAGTTTGGCTGTGGGGGGAACAATAGTTAGAAATTGTCAATCCGAGAGCCGAGCTCTAATACCTTTTGGACTAGTTATATTCCCGTACGCACAACTACCCTTGGGAAACGTATAAATTCACCCTTTCTCCCACATATATGGGTTAATTAGTAAGACTTATTACTAAACCACTTTTATCTAAAAAATCTCACAATTTAAAAGATATTTACATTATTTACATTATTCGGACTATTGTCCTCATCTTTGCTGCCATATTTATTCAGCCGTTGTACGCTCCGGCCTTCTTCAGGTGATTGGAATGTCGAACTGAACCCTTTATTTCGCTCACTGGGGTAGACTGTTCTAGTTCTACCTGCCATGTCAAATGGATGTCAGTTATCAGTTATCTCCTGTTAATTCACCTCTGCAATATCTGTCTATATTTCTGAGATGAGGTATTATGTACATTATTTACATTATTCGGACTATTGTCCACATCTTTGTCGCCATATTTATCACAATGTTTCAGCCCTTCAGTATCTGTCTATATTTCTGAGATGAGGTATTATTTACACTATTTACATTATTCGCACTATTGTCCTCATCTTTGTTGCCATATTTATTACAACGTATCGGCCCTTCAGTATCTGTCTATATTTCTGAGATGAGATATTATGTACATTATTTACATTATTCGGACTATTGACCTCATCTTTGTCGCCATATTTATTACAACGTTTCGGCCGTTGTACGCTCCAGCCTTCTTCAGGTGGTTGGAATGTCGAACTGAACCCTTTATTTCGCTCGCTGGTGTAGACTATTCTAGTTCCACGTGCCATGTCTAATGGGTGTTAGTTATAAGTTATCTCCTGTTAATTCACCTCTCAAAGTTCTCTACTGCCTTAACCAGGTATTGAACTCACATTGTTACTGTGCCATGTGTATGAATTTCTGGGACTTATAAACCTAATGTTTTCAACAACCAATATTTCCTGGTTTTAAATAAGCCGAAAACGTTTGATCAACCGTAAAATCAAATGAAACAGACAAAACCCCAAGAGCCATTTAAATCAGATGTTCACTAAATTTCTATAAGGCTGTAAAGTGGGGTGCACATTGAAAGATAACGATTGATCCTCTTCTTGAGGATAGTAAAATCGTTGTGATTGGGAAAGTATCCTCTCGGGAGTATGCTAATTGTTCTGGGGAAGAAGCTGACTTGTCTCTTTAGCAATGGAATGCGAAAGGCATAAGAATGAATCGACCCTGTATAAGCAGCGTGGGAAGTGACTAGGAAGTCGAGAAGGTCTGAACTGGTGGCATTAATGAATGTAGCTCGTCTGAATATTTGTTATGTGTATAGTGATGGAGTAACGAAAGGCTATCGACCGTTGGAAAATAAATGGTTGAAAATAATTAATCACCCATGTAGCCGAGTAAACGTTTTGGAAATCAGCCATGTCAGTGTGGTGAGGCATATTTAGCTTAAGATATAAAAGCAATGCTCCATTTTTCTTTTGTTCTCACTCTTATTATGGCTATGAGTTTGACCGACTGATTGATTTTGTATTTGACGGTTCATCAACCTTTTGCAGGTTATTTAAAGCCAGAGGATATTTTTAGATTTAAGAATTTTTAGGGTTAATACTTATTTAGTGATACACTTCCTACTAATAAACCCATAGGTGGGGTAGAAGAGCTGGATTCATGCCTTTCCCAAGGGTATTTGCGCGCACATGACAGAAAATTGAACTCATTAACCATTACACCACTTGAACATACAAGATTACAGCGCCTGGTATCATCAAGTGGTCACCCATCTAAATACTGACCAGGCTCAATGTTGCTTAATTTCGGTGATCGTACGAGAAACGGTGTTTCAATACAGTATAGCCAT